TCAAGTTTCAACATTGTTTGGATTTGATCAACATTGTTGAACACTGAAGATTGAAGATGAAGACACAACCAAAATTTGTTATTGAGAGAGAATTGAAAATGTGGAATTTTGCCAAGGTGGAGATTTGTTGAAGTTTGGCAAAATGCCAAAGTCCCACATCGGTTGAGAGTTAAGTTTGGGGTGGATTTCCCCCCTATAAAATAAGGCCTAATGTTTAGGATTGATACACACCTCTCATTTGCCTTCTCATCTGTTTAAGGCATTTGTATCTTCTCTCTTTAGTATTATTTCACTTGTATTTTTGGAGTGAAATAAAATATTGGTTGTGTCCGACGAGTAGGCAAAATTAGCCGAACCTCGTAAATTCTGGTGTTCCCCGTTATTGTTGCTTTATTGTCTTATTTATTATTTTGTGGCTGTCATAATTTTTGGTATAGTAGTTGTGACTTATTCACACTATATACATTTGGCTTCCGCAACAGAGTCTATTGCCAATACGATTTAGTTCAGTATTTCTTGATGTTTCAACTAAATAGAAATTCAAGTAATCTTGTTGTTTTCCTTTTGCCAGTGAGTTGAGGAATGAGGCGGCAGTTTATAGTAATGCGCATATTCACTCTTGAGCTTTGATCTGTCTACTTGACGTGATTTTTTTCCTACTCAAAGGTACAGGAGACAGAATATTTGTTTCCTATCTATCAAAATATAGGACCATATAAGGCTGTTATGTATGATTATCATCTCAACTTCTTGTAAGCTATTACAACTCCTTACTCAGTTGGTGAATAGCAATAACCTCAACCGTGATCTGTCATCAGAATGTCAGTGAAGAATCATACTTCTCTTTTTGTGTGTAATTTGTTAGCATTAGTTCACTTTAATCAGTCAGTGAAAAGGGCTAGTCATTTCTCTGCATCAATTAAGCCATCCACTGCTCTTAAACTGTCAAAACTGGTCTGTTGTCCAAGTTAAACTAGGCCATTATTTTGTTATAGCTCAGATTGACACTAAAGTTATACGTATTACATATTTTATGAAACTTGATTTGCTCCGAGTAATTCTTTCACTACTGTGGATTAATCAACATAATTTGATGTAGTAGTTTTAAGGCTTCACTCTATTAATATTTGTTTGTTCTAACAAAATCTTCTGCTTAAAGATTTTCACTTGATTGCACCACTTGATCATTTTGCTAAGAGTTTCTGTAATGAATCAAAAAGTATATGTACTCTTTTCCAGTTAAACCCGACCATGAACAACGTCATCTTCTTCTCTTGATTAAGAAGAATGATTCATCCTACTATGTAGCTCTCCACTATTATAGATGTTCAATTTGCTTACTGGGACATGAATTATGCTTTGCTTTTCATTAAACACAGAGCTCTATGCTAAAGCTCCATATAGAATTTATATTTCGATGTGTGTGCGCGCGCGCGCGTGTATAATCATCCGAAAGTTTTAGGAAATAATTAAACTTGCATTGTCAGGAGTTGACAGCAATACGGCTTCAAATTTTGCCTGACTGATAGCAAAAGCATGTGTCCCTTTTCATCATTCATGTGAGCTCTGTAGTCGTTTTTCAATTTTTTACTACTTACCTTTGCTTGCGTGTTAATTCCTTTTATTCGTTATATCTAGTTGAGCAGTGTGCAGCGTCTATTTTCACTGTGAAGCCGAGGAAGCATCTTTGCTCGAAATGAAATTTAAGGTTAACTGTGAAGAGTTACTTATATGTTGCAACTACAGAAATCTTTATGCATTATGACAAAAACTTATCATAAATAGGATTTAATAATTTTCTCTAGAAAGTAGTTAGCAAAATGTAATATTGATAAACTAGTCATCTTTTACCCTGCACAGATAATTGCACTTCATTTATTCTTGTCATATACCTCACTCTTCATCTTGTAGATTTTTAGTTCATGTATTGCTTGAACTTTCATCTCAATAGAAATTCATGAATTCTTGTACTTTCCCTTTTTCAGTGAGTTGAGCAAGGAGGAGGTGGTTTAGAGTAATGCACATGTCCACTATTGAATGTGAAGCTCTAACAGAATTCAAAGGTATACGCGACACAAAGTTTGCCTCCTATCTATAAAAAATAGAAAAGTTTGCTTCCCAATATGATTATCGGATATCAGCTTAGCAGTTATTTTAATCAGGATTTGGGTAACAGTATGTAAGCTATTACTACTCTTAGCTCGTTGGTGAATGGAAAGTTGTGGTGACATTCTCTATCGAATGGACAATAACCTTGAATGTGCTCTGTCAGCAAAGTGTAAGTGAAGAAAAGCACTGCTTTTTTGTGTGAAATTTAACAGTACTACTTCTCTTTGATCATTCTTAGAAAATATTGTGCAAAATTTTGTATCAATTATATCACCTAATGCTCTTAACTACCAATGTTTCAGTTTTGTGTGTATGTTAATAAAAAAAAAATGATCTGTACAATGTCGTTTTCTCTTGGAAGGCTCTTTCATTTTTTAGCTGAAAACTGCGTCTTGAAATTCAGTAAATGGAGGAGTGGCCAGTGGTTGATAATGAACTCATATAGCGAGCAAGATCATTGGTGGTATTATCAAGGTAAATAAGTGATTCTCCAGAAAATGGTGCCTATTAATTTTCAAGGATTCTCTTGGCTTGTTTATTAATTGCTTGTCTTTTCTAATATTCTAGACTACTATGCATCATTTATTTCTGTTGCAAAAATTATTTGTCCCTTCATTCCCCTATTTATACTCTCCCGTCACTTCCTGTATAACATGAATGGTTGCTTTGACAGGCAACAGTAACACGATTTATCAATCCTTTGATCGGTGAAAAAACTAAAATGATATAAAGCTTACAATTTCTGAGGTAATATTGCTTTTATTCCCCATTCTATGCTTTTGTGTACAATCATTCAAGCAGTGTATGGTCTCAAATCTCCATGCTGATATTTGAAGCTAACTTCTTTTCTTTTGCAGAAGGAGGTTGATTAGAATGATGTGATGCTTGAAGTTTCAGTTCAAACCACGTCTAGAATTTGACAAGGCGGATTCCTGGCCTAAAATTGCTCATATTTCCACCATAAGAGTCGATGGGAAATATGTTGCAATTACAGAAATTTTTATTCATTGTAAGAAAAGAAAAGACACAGTATAGGCTGAAATTAATAATTTTAACTAGGAAGTTCATAGCAAATTGTAATTTTAACAAACTAGACCTTTTTACCATTAGCATACGTAGATATGTCAGCCGGAGCCCGGATATGCATAGTCTTTTGAAATACGAGTGAATCTTACTTGAAAAATCTATTACAGCTCGTAGCTCAGTTGGTGAAATGGATGTCGTGCTGACATTCTCCATTGACTAGACAATCACCTTGAATGTGATCTGTCAGCAAAGTGTAAATGAAGATCTATGTGGAATTTGACAATACTACTTCTCTTAGGAAATATTGTGCAAGACTTTCAGTAGGTACATTTTAGCCTTATCGCTGTAGGAAAACTGCTTGAGTAGATTTTGCAATTAATCTTGTTCTTGTTACCTCTGCTTTTTGATAGTTGAAAGGATGAGCAGGAAGTCAGATTGTCTAAATTAATGTATGGCTCATCCAACAGCAAATTGTTCGAATATTTTGTGTGTTTGTGCGCATATAAACACAAAATTCGAAATAGAAAAACCTGGCTAACCTTCTTTGCAATTGTTGTAGTCAATGCACACTTGCTGAATTGACCAAATATGGTGGTTAATCCTCAGTATTTACATTGATTGACGGTCACCTCATCTGGTATGCTGGCTGAAGTTCTGTCCTCTTATTAACATAATCTATTTTTCCAGTTAACTTGCCCGCGATATCCTTTCCCTGGTAAAGAAGAAGCAAAGGTTCTAATACAACTGTCAGATATATGCAGAAGATAAAAGGTCCAGATAAAGGCAACCTCGCTTTCTCAGTAAGGTAGCGAAGCCTTGAAAAGAGTTACATCAATCTTGAGATTTAAAGAGATTGGGTTGTTGAAGTTTGGCAAAATGCCAAAGTCCCACATTGGTTGGGAGTTAAGTTTGGGGGGATTTTTCCCCTATAAAAGAAGGCCTAAAGTTTAGGATTGAAACACACCTCTCATTTGCCTTCTCATCTGTTTAAGACATTTGTATCTTCTCTCTTTAGTATTATTTCACTTGTATTTTTGGAGTGGAATAAAATATTGGTTGTGTCCGAGGAGTAGGCAAAATTAGCCGAACCTCGTAAATTCTGGTGTTCCCTTTATTGTTGCTTTATTGTCTTATTTATTATTTGGTGGCTGTCATAATTTTTGGTATAGTAGTTGTGACTTATTTGACACTATATACATTTGGCTTCCGCAACATGGGTAAGATTTTCAATGTCTGCTTCCATTATTTAAGCACATGTTATATCAAATTGATTTCAAGTTGATGTGACCGTATTTGATAGCACATACTAAGATCTTATCAGTATAGCACAATAGTTAAAACATCAGTTTTTGTTTTGAATATTCAGAGGTTTGGATTGAAGATGCAAACATTAAGCTGATAATTTTGGATTATGGAGTTCCTTTCAAAAAATTTCTATTACTCAACCTCAAGTAGCAGCTCAGAACTAGGGGAAAGGCAAGGAAGCTTATGCTACTCGGAATGGCTTCAAGGTTAGATTACAAAAACAACTCACTCATGTTTCAGTTGCCACGATCTTTATATATGTACTGGTAGCAGTTTTTAATTTACTCGCTAATATTGACAACAAAACCAAGAAAGATCCATCTCTTATTAGTTCTTCTATCTTAGTTGATGCATATTACCTGTTCAAAATATGATGCAGTCCTAATGCGTTTATTGCACATTCTTGTCTAGCCATTCTTTCACTATCTATCCTCAACTGCCCATTGCTTCAACCACGTCTATAATTTCAGATGTAAGTTATTCTTTGCTTCAGTAGCTTTTTATTGTTCATTACTTCTCTTTGCTTGTTTGTTAAATCTTGCTGTGTAGCATCTATTGCACTGTTAGATGAAGCCGAGGAAGCATCTGCAGCGTAAGATGAATTTTAATGTTAGATGACAAAAAATGTAATATCTTGCAACTACAGAAAATTTTATACATTGTGTGAAAAAAAAAAGTGGTATAGGTAGAAATTAATAATATGCTCTAGGAAGTTGATAGCAGAATATAGTATTATCAAACTAGAAGTCTTTTTACTATGCACATACATAGTCTCAAAAATTTTCAACAGGAGAGTTCTTGATGGTATTATCAAAGTAAGTGAATCTCCAAATACTGGCACATTTAAGTCTACAAGATTTAAGGATATTTTTGTACATTATACGCATCTTTAGCTCAAATTCACACGATTCGGAAATCTTCCTGACTTTTATTAAACTCCATGCTGAAGACACATAAAATGATACGGAGGGAGTAATTTTCAAGGCTTCTCTTTCCTTTTCTATTAGTAAACTTTTTCTCTTTGCTAATCTTTTAAGCTGTATGGATCATTCTTTTGCATCACGAAATTTGTTCTTAACTCTGTTCCATTGTTTTTAGTCTCCAGTCGCTTCCTGTACATTTGATTGTTTTAGCACGATCTCACTTTTCTAATAGGTATGGTTGTTTTGCCTATCCCTTGTAGAAGAACTACTTAAAAAGGAGAAAAAAATAGTCTTGAAGTTTCATCTTAAATAGCATCTCAATGGCGTGCATTTTATTATTACTGTTCAAATGTAGAACTCCAATAGTAAGAAGGTTTCAATTTCCATGTGATACTGCCCTACTTTGTCTTCCTTGAGATGAGGCCTGCCTTGTTGAAAAGTTCTGATAGTATCTTTGCCCAAAATTTTGGTCGAAGCGAAATTTTTTATTCAACCAAGTAAGAAAATATATATAGCTAGCTCATTTAGATTTTAGACTATAGATACCTTACCAGGAAGGGTACAAGTCTAAGCCTCTTCAAATAGCAGCAACTATATGTAACTGGTCCATTATACTCTTCCATTTACAATTACCTTACCCAACTATATGTAACTAGTCTATTCCTCTGGATTGAACATCAAAAAAGTTGTCCTATTTTCCAGAAGACGGCTCGACCAGGGGTCAGCATAGACTGAAGGAGACGGCTCTAATCTTGTGTTGGCTTCGCCAACTAATTATGGACTGCTCTACACTGACACTGGGCGCGGTTATGTTATTATGTGAAGGGTATGCTATATATGCACCTAACCAGTAGTAAACTAGGCCTTTGGTACTCTGACTCTATGTTTTTGCCTACAGAATGTTAAAGACAGACATAATTATTCGACTACTGTATGAAATTTTTGAGTTGTTGGATATGATTTTTGTTAAAGCAAACTTGTAAGACAAAATATTTCCATAGTGATTGAGAATGCTGTCGTATTTATTTTTGAAGAATTTGGTTATTAAACTAGGGAGATTAAAACAAAATGTCTAAAGAAATTCAACTGCAAACGGTCTTTTATTATTTATTAAAGGAAAAGTAAGCATACAATAAGACTTTTGAGAATAACAATCTCCTCAATCATATCTCTCCCTATATTTGTAACTTTTCACACAGATTTCCAACTACTATCTAAAAAACGATAATAAGCATGTCTCCATGATCTCTTGAAAAGCAAGCAAGAACACACTCCCCAAAAGCTAAGACCTAATTCTATTGCCATTGCAATGTAGAACCAATCCAATTCATCTTCATCACTCTCACAGTATCAATTTCAGGAATTTGGTAACAGTATGTAAGCTATGATAGCTGTTAGTGCGTTGGTGAAAGTAAAGTTGTGCTGATATTCTCTATTGAATTAACAAACACATCGTATGTGGTTTATCAGCAAAATACAAGTGAAGAAGGAGTACTAGTTATAGAATTAAATGTCAGGAAAACGCTACATCACAATCATAATTCTGAATTGCTTAATAATACTTAATCTTGAAACTTAGTGTCATATTTAGAATTGTAACACTAGAATAAAATTGAAATGATCAAGTAGAACAAGCAGGGAAAAAATGATATTTCCGCTGTTGTTTTTAAGATAACTCGCAATATTATTGTGTTACTAAGGGTGCTCGAAAGAGGAGATGGCAGGACTTTGAAAGAAACAAAAAACCAAAGCATGAAGGGACACTAGAGAAAACCCCAACCAAGAAGTCTCGTTGCAAATGTAACATTTGGAAGTGTTGACAACTTAATATTTAGGATTCAAGATAACGCATTATCTTTTTGCTCTTAGGCGTGCAACATGCCATCGGTAATGATTCTACCACATTGTAACAATAAAATTTTTTATATTATGAGTCTTGCCGCCAAGGGTCTATTGGAAACAGTCTCTCCATCCTCACAAGGTAGGGATAAGGTCTGCGTACACCCTACCCTCCCCAGACCTCACGATTTGGGATAATACTGGGTATGTTATTCTTGCCCAATCGAGGATGAAAATGGATTTGTATTATTTGTAGTTTATCCCTTCAACTTGAAGTTGTAATCATTCTACCCAAATGATGCAAAACTCCCAACAGCCGACCATAGCCCCTACCCTACAACCCTTCCCACCCACCTATACGTGAACCAATAATGCCTGCAATATGTCAAGTAAATAAAGACATACTAAATATCACCACTTTTTTCCCGGTTAACTAAAGAGGCTGCAATTGATAAATTGTCTGAATTGTGTCAGACTCAGGAATTCTGCAGTACTCACAAATAAAACTTAACTCAGGCAAGAAAAGTTCATCAAAGCAACAAAGAATCACCATTTATAATTTAATCCTTGTACCATCCCCACAATGTAAAGAACAAGATGACTCAGAACAAAACTGTGACAAATGCCGTCTCCCTGACGACCCTTGAGCTTAAAACTCATTTGATAAACAAAACTTCTCAACATAATCACCGACACTCCTACCCTTGCAGGAGGACTCAAATGCAACATTTCTAATATACACATTCTACAAAAACAGAAGGGTTTTCCGTCTTTGCTCACACACTTTCAACCAAAGTGACAACAGGCTGATGCATGACCTCAAAAAGCCCAAATGAATGATGTTTTATGAGAAAGAATCGAGAATGAAATATGACACACGCGAAGCTACAGCCTAGCAGCTTCATTGCATTGGAGAAAATTGTCATCCTCCATACCACTACGATGATAAAATGGATTGCAGTGCTATCTGCTGCTGAGGCTGCAAGGATGACCATGTTGAGGCTAGTGTGGCTGGTGGTAATGTTTGCTGAAGCTGCCTCAACAGATTAATCATCCGACTAGCGGTTTGCTCTGTAGCAAGGTCCTTACCGGCACATAGAACCTACAGAAGAAGCATATTTGCAATTACACAAGGGCGCTTACTACATGAAAATCAGTAAGATGACGGGAAACATAGGACAATCATGTTAGCTGACCATTCAACCCATCTAAAGGTTAGCTGACCATTCAACCCATCTAAAGGTACACAGGGGAAACACCAAAAAAAAGAAGAGAAGAAAAGTGTTCGCTGGAAACCCAGAATAAAGAGATGAGTAAGTGGGTGCTCCCCATCTCTTGCCTACTTTCCCCTCTCACCACCAAAGAAAACAAAATTAGAGACCTCCTCCCCCACCCCCAACCCCAGCCCAAAACAAAAAAGGAAACAAAAAAGAATCTAAACATCGCACTAACTGAGAATGTAGATCCAACCACTGGTTCAAAATGGGGAATCTAGTTTAGGACTGCTACCTTTTTTACAAGTAATCAACCTATAACAAGAAGCTTTAGTAACTCACCTCGGCAAAAACCAACACAATTTTTGGAAGGTACTGATTGTCAGGACCCAGAAGTTCTCGGTCTGACCTGCAAGCAGGAAAATATGGTAAAATGTAAAGACTAAAGAAACATTAAAATATCATATGACATGCCGGCTTGAGTTAAGTAAAGCAGATTGGTGAATGCAGAGGCGGGTCCAGGGTTTAAACTTTATGGGTTCAACTTTTAAGATTTTTAACATTGAACCCATTATATTTTTAAAGTTATCGGTTCAAATCTATTATTTTTGCAATTTTAATGAATTTTTACATATAAATTTCTACTCCGCGTCGAAAGTTATGGGTTCAATTGAACCCGCAGCTATCACATTGCATCCGCCTCTGGGTGAATGGCAAAACACGTCAAGGTGACTCAGTCAGATCAACCACCCATAGATCAAAGAAACATGCAACTGTTATATGAATGATATTGATGCAGGATACAACTGGCGCAAAATGAATAGAGAGGATTCATATAACTGAATCCAACTAGCTTGGGAATTAGGCATACAGAGACTCTTCCTTAGATGTTTCGTCAAACTTAATGAAAGCCATAATAAACCAAATGATATCACATAGGCTCCAGTTTGACTTCTACAAACCTCCTAAACAAGTTACAATTTTGAGATGCTACTTCAAATATTTAGCTCCCGTTGAAAGTAGCTTATTATTTTAGTTATAGGAAAAATAGCTTGTTATTCTCAGATCTGGAACAGCGCAATTTATTTGCACACAGGCATCTAATTATATGAATGATGCTGATGCAGGGTATTTGGAGCAATAAACAACTGCTGAAAGTAATTAGACAACATATGGGTTGACAGACCAAAACAAAGTTGCCTGAATTCTTCCACCATCTCTAAAGGTAAGAAAAAGGCCAAAAGTTAAAGCAAATTCATATAATACCTTTCAACCATTGAACAGAGTTGGTCATGAACAACCTTGGCCTCAATCAGGTCACCTTTTATGGGAAGGCAATTCAACCAAGCAGGAACAACCTGCAAAAAGTCATAAAAATGAGAACTTCGACAAAATTATAACAGAGTACCAAGTAGTAGAGGAAAATGAATTCTCTACGTGTAAAGGTTACATAGGTTAGAAAATATTTGACATGTACGCACATGCAAAATCAAGGACAGAATAATGAAAACAAGAACACTTCTACACAGTAAAGTATAAATTGACTTTTTTGCAGAAGCTAAAGAACAAAGAGATTGAAAGAAAAACAGATG